GGGGGGGGGGGGGGGGGGGGAGAGAGAGAGAGAGAGAGAGAGAGATGGACCTGAGTGAAAACTTCATGATACACAGTAGCCTGTTTTGAAATGGAGATGGAAACTTATATAGATATCTACCTAATCGATGTAGGAAGAACTGAGAGAAAATTAATTAGAAAATAAATAATCTCTATCTTTAAATGTAAAGGGGGGGTGACAGAGGACCCAAGTAAAGACATGACTCTGTGTGTGTGTATGCCTGTTTTGTGTTTGTATTTTTGTCTTTTGTGTGTTTGTATTTCTTTGTATTTTTGTACAGTGTATATGTCTTTATGTGTATGTGTATGGGGGGGTTTGGTGTGTGTGTGTGTTTGTGTGTAAAAATGAACCTGGCTGAAGACTTAATGTACAATAGTGTAGTTTATAGCTTGTGTATTTATTTAATCTGTGAGGACCTGAGTGAAAACTTCATGTTAGAGAATAAATTTATATGGGGGGGGTGGAGAGAGAGAAAAGGGAGGGGGGGAAACAAGTGGACCTGAGTGAAGACTTCACAATGGAGAGAACTGTGGCTTCTAGCTATGCCTATCTATTTCATCTTCATATGAGGACCTGAGTGAAAACTTCACAGTGCACAGTAGTTTATATCTTTAGAGAGAGGGAGGGAGAGAGAGAGAGAGAGAGAGAGAGAGGGAGGGAGAGAGAGAGAGAGATTGCTGTCAAAGAACTTGAGCCTAGGCCTCACAGTGAAGCAGAAATTTCTACCTAAGAAAGTATGAAGTGTGTGTGTGTTTGTGTGTATACATGTACATATGTATGGAGACCCATAAATGAACAGTACAGCCCCATCATAGTAATGTAAGTTTCATCTCTCTTCATAATCTTTATGAGAGGACCTGAGTGAAGACTTCATGGTACAGGCAGCGTATCTGCCTGCCTACCTAATCCACACAGGAGGACCTGACTGAAGACTTCACCCTCCTTCGAGCCCCCAGGAGGATGTTGCTAGTTTACTGAAGCTAAGGAGGTCTGGATTTGAGGCCTTTTGAGGGTGGGGACCAAGCAGGATTTCTGTCTAGGGTTTATTTAATTTGGCGCTCTCCCTCTCTCCCCTCCCCCCTGTGTATTTGTGTGTGTGTGTGTGTGTGTGTGTGTGTGTGTGTGTGTCTAGTAAGCAACGTGGATGAAAAAAATTCACTTCATGCCTGTTCAGAAGTGAACACAGACAAGTCTGTCCGACTTAAGCAGAGGTCAAAATGTTAGACTCTCATAGCTGCCACCCCTTCAATACATTAAATTATAGATTTGAATAGAAGTGAAAAGCAGGAAGTGAGTTGGAGCAAAGTTGAGCAGCTGAGTAAATTTTCCAGTTCTTCTACTTTGGCCTTAATTGAAGACCATGCTATTTTTCACCCTCGGCCTCTTAAAGGATAATGTTTTTGGAGATTTGGGGGTATTCCTGTTCTTGGGGACGGAGATTAGAGTATGTTGAAATAACTCCCCCCAACAAAATAATATTTATTCATGTAGGCATTTTTTTAAAAAAAATCCATCATGAAATCAAGAAAGTCAATTACTGCAAGAAAAAAATAGAATAGAAACTCTCAAGGCTGCTGCAGTACAGTGCAGGTCCTCTCCCTGAGGTACTAATTGTGTACTTGCAGAATACACGTACACAAATGTCACAAAAATATTCAGAAAGGGCGGTCCCAGTACTTTATTTCATGAACAATCCTTTAACAGAGTGTCGTTAAATGTTTGTGGGCTTCAACTGAATTCTTTACGTGTAAACTCATTGTGTTTCCTTTGTTTTCCTTCCATTGAACTGGAATGGAAGGAGTCAACCGGGAGAAATAATTGAGCTTTAATTCCTGAAAAGTTGGAAAAAAAAGCAGATTACGCTTCAAAGATTTATTCTTTGGCTGCAAGAAACTGCTACTGGAATCTGCTTGGCTTATTTTTCTCTCTCCTTGATTTAATAGGAGTCAGATGATCAGCATAATTTTATAAACAGAGGCTGACTTAGGAAATGTTGGATTGCTCGGCGCACAGTAAGTAGCCATTGCCACTTAGCAATTTCTTGGTTTTTAGCTAGATGGTTTTTTTTCCCTCCAATCCTGATGCTCAGTTATGAGATTCCCTGCTACAAGAGGCCTTGAACTGTTTTTGTCAACATATAAGCATCACCGAATTATTTTTGGATTCCCACCAGTTGAGAACAGCTGGATATGCGCATGCTCAAACTTTGACTTTTCAAATAAAGCGTGTAACTACATCTTGCAACCAGAAAGCCAGCTTATCGGGGAACAATTCTAGAACAGCCCGTTCCTTGAAGGGTCTAGCAATAGCACTGAGACTTATATACCGCTTTATAGTGCTTTACAGCCCTCTCTAAGCGGTTCAGAGTCAGCCTCTTGCCCCCAACAATTTGGGTCCCCATTTGACCCACCTCGGAAGGACCGAAGGCTGAGTCAACCTTGAGCCTGGTGGGATTTGAACTGCCAAATTGTGGGCAGCTGGCTGCAGAAGTAGCTTGCAATACTGCACTCTAACCACTGTGCCATTGTTTAGTTATTGACTTGCAAGGAGTTTTCTGAAGGAGTTTGGCAGGGGAGGGATCAGCAGTGAGATCCTACCTCTCAATTCAGAATGCAACCATTTCAAGAATCTCATCCTGCTTTTCTTTTTAAACTGAGGATAGTTGTTATCGTTGTTGTTTTCCTTCCTCTGTGCTAGAAGGTGGAGACATGCAGGAAAGACGAAGGGAGGATGAACGTTACACGGACAACGGGAACTTTCCAGAACTTCGTTGTGGAGCTAGGAAGCACACTGAGGACCAGGCAGATGAGAAGTGTGGAGAGCCTGGATCTTCAGAAGGTCCACCCTGGCAGCCTGAGGAATCTGACTGCCTCCCTTCCATCTTCCTGGCAGCCTTTCTGGCATTCGTCTTTGTCTCTGTTTCCATGGTCTTACTTTGTCATGAGACTGTCCACTTTTCTTTGAGGGACCTCAAGGCCTTGAGTCCCAACAGCGTTCATCTACCCAAGGAAGATGTCCAATCTCTTCCTCTCTTTTTCCCAAACCAACCAGAATCAACCTGGGGGACATTCCTGCGACACGTGTGCAACCCGTTGGGGAAATCTCGCCTGGAGGAGCCTTGGATCCTGGTTGGAATCGGCCCCGGAGATCCAAGCCAGACCCTTCTCTGCTTCACAAAAATGATGCTCTCCTTACTGACTCAGCAAAAATCCATCAGCGTTGAGTTTCTGGACGCAACCAGCCCTTGGCTTCCTCCAATGGGTTCTTCTAAAAATAGGACCTGGGTGATCAGTAGCGTGAAGGTTCTTTGGGGACAAGAGAGTCTCCCTGGTGGATTGGTGGTGTCATTGCAAAGTATCCTGGAGGGAAAAGGGGAGGCCACCAAGAACGCATTTGCCCTCGTGGGGAATGGCGTGGAGCAGAGTCGGGAGAGGCCCCTGCTCCAAAGATTGACCCCTTCCTTGATCTCTAGAATTTTGAGCTTGAATCCCAATAGGAGATTGAGCAAGGCGATGATCGACCACGAGAACTTCCTCGTCCTCTTCGTCACATCTGAGCAATATTTGGAAAGTGGGTTGGTTTGCTAAAGGCTGCTTATATGTGCCATGCCTTCCACAGAGAAGGGTCTTTTAATCACTCGGGGGACAGGTAGAATGAAAGGCCCACCCCGAGAAGGTGGAATGTCAATCAAATTTATCCGGGAAGTGAGAAAATTGCTATGATTTGTGAAGGGGCAAGGGTGAAGATCAGTGTTGGGAAACTCAGGCTAGATCTTCTAGTAGAAATTTAGATTTGCAGTGGGCCAAATTATTTTCTGAAGCTTTATTAAGCCCCCATAAAATAAAGGTGGAAGAAAGGTTTCTTTGTCATTAGGATCTGCAGAAGAGAATTACTTTAGAGCAGCGTTTCTCAGCCTTGGCCATCTTGGGAAGTGTGGGCTTCAATTCCAAGAATTCCCCAATCAGCAAGGAATTCTGAGAGTTGAAGTCTATCCATCCCAAGATGGCCAAAGCTGAGGAACGCTGCTCTAGATGATTTCAGAACTAGACAGTAGGAATAGTGTATCTCCAGGTGTGATTCCATCTCTGGAAAGTTGAATAGAGGGCAATCTGGATGTATTACGTCAAAGAAGACCATCATGGAAATAGTTGTAGTAGAAGAAACCTCCTTTGTATCTTGGTTGGTGTGTGTATAAATGTACATAGTGATCGTATCCTTGGTGTGTTTGGGGACAAAAAGAACTGATGGTCCAGCCTTCCCAGCTGCTGCAATCCAGACGCGAATAAGTCTCAACAATTCATACTTGTGAACTGTGATGATTGGACACAAGCTCTGCTGCACCTTAAAAGCTACCTCGTTAAAACATGAAATATCTGGGACCTTATTCGGCGTGTAGGCTTATTTTTCAGGCGAGGGTCCCCAGATCTTCCAATAAAGGCATATCTGGCATTTTAAAACGTTGAGCCTCTCGTTTGTTGTTTTCAACACCAACACACCTTCGCTGACGTGTTACGGTTGGGAGGAAAGGGGGGTGGTGTAATGGTGTGTGAGAATGAGCTTTGGAGACAGGAGAAAGAAAAGAAAGGCCAAGCAATGGTCAGATAAGAGGTAGCTGAGCCCAGAGAAGGAAAAGGGGGCTGGGTGGGAAACACCTCAAAAGTTTTCTGGGACTGTAAAAGGGAGGTGAGGGCAAGACGAACTTTCAGACTTGCAAGATTCTGTTAATGTCACCTTACCATAAAGTCAAAGCTAGTACTTTTGGTGTGTTTCTCATTTAGACTACTTGGCAAGGCTGACAGGTGATGAGTTCTAGTCCAGCTGCCCTCGTTTCCAGGGGAATGAAATTTGGGGGTGGGTGGGGGGGAGAGAAACACTGCATTCCTCGGATCAATAAACCTTCCTTCAAAAACGGTTCTTAGTTACACAGACCTTTGCCCATGAAACCACCGGGGTACCGAAGAGACAAAGAAACATCGCAAAAACAAAAAGACGGCGAATCCGCAAAAAAAAGTTTGGTTTTGCTACCTGGGGCCCCGAGAGCCCACGGTGCCTGCGGTTCCTCCACGAGGGGAATCTTAACTTCTGGCAGCTGCAAAGTGAGAAGAAAGAGATTCGGGCTACCAGGTTCCCTTGCTTGGCTACCGAAAGAGAGAAGCTGCCGGAACGATTTGAAACTCCACGGCCCTCTTGGGTTGAAAGGCACGTTCTGGCTAACCCAGGATTTACAGATCGACAGAAGAGGTTGTCCTTGTGGATGGCTGGGCTGGGATGTCGTCGGGTTGAAGAGAAGGCAGGCGGCTTCCGCAGAGGGAACTGGCCTCTGTTTCTCCCTTCCCTCCCCCCAAGTTTGGGGAGGGGGGGATAGAGAGAGAAAAAAACCTCTGTTCATCTCTGTAGAGGACAAATACCAGTGGCTCCAAGCTGAGCTCAAGGTGTCCATCTCCATAGCAGCCTCCGAGAAGCCCTGCTGTCTTTGAGCTTCTGGTCTCCTTGGTTGCTGGAAATAAACAACAGCTGCCTCCTGTCCTTGCAGCGCTGAAAAACCACCCAAGCCCTGGGGGAACCACCGACAGACAAGGATCTTGTCTCGAAAGGGAGGGGTGGGAAGGAAGATCCTTCTTCCTCTCCTCCACGGATGGAGGCCCTGCCTCTTTCTTTGGGCAACCTGGAGACGCCTCTCCCCAACGTCTAGCCACGACAAGAGATGGCAAGGAGGAGGAGGAGGCCGTTGGCAAGGTGGGCTGAATGTTTTTTTGGGGAGAAGGGGCTGGGTTTGTGTGCGGTGAGCTAGGAAGGAGATGCGTCCCTGGGTTTCCCCGGGATTTAAGATCCGTGGTTGGCGCTTTGGGGATCCACTGCAGCTGTGCTGTTTTTAATCTGGAGCAAGAAGACATGATTTGAGAAAGGCTGTTTCAAAGAGATGTTGCTGATTGAATTGAGAGATGGAGGGGGTGAAAAAAGAATCCGTGTGGGGATGTGGGTAAACTTTTCCCATCCAATCCAAACAGGTGCAGTTTTGATAGTCGATGAACGGCAGGAAGAGAACCAAGGGTGCAAGAAGGAATCCAGAAACATTTCCTATCGCAGTAGATTGTGGCTTAAATATAGTCAAGGGGAGGCTTGCTAGGGAAGGCAGGGGCGAGAGCATCGCACAATGGGAATGCCTTCGCTTTGCACGTCAAAGCTTCTGGGCTCAAGCCTTTAAAAGATTTGGAAACCTGCTGGCCATCAAAGTCACACACACACACACATATATAAGCAGCTTTCCAAATAATTAATCATTTCTGATGTTTAATGGTGGAGAATTTAGGACCTCCCTCAGTTTGGGGGCCATCCCAGGCACTGAGAAAATCATCCTTGACATTCAACAAGTCTTGTCTTGGGCAAGACAAGGAAATAATAGCGAAAAAATATTTAGAGACAACGCTGTCAATTTTTTTTGCCGAAGTTCCTGAGCAAACCGGAGCAAATCAAGGGCGTCCTATTGATGCCTACGTCATGAGGGCTAGAAACTTGGGGGGTAAAAATTAAAGTGCACCTTCGCCACAAGCTCATTTCCGCCTCCTCCCTTATCTCTGCGGTCATATCACAGACTCTCCGTCCCCCGGGGGGGACAATGGCTTGCTGTATTCTGTAACGCATTACGTCCTCCAATAGCGCTGTATAAATAGCCGTAGTAATTCAAGCATTCCCGGGAGATTTCATGCACGCCCAACCTTCATTCTTATTCTAACTTCTCTCTACTGGTTTTTTTTTTGCTCCAGTGATGGATTTCGCGCGCTTTAAAGAAAGGGAGGGGGGCCCTTTGGTCTGCCTAGCAATCCCACCCCTTTGCCCTCCTCCCAGGACTGCTACGAGAGTGATCTGCCACGCTTCTGCTGGCTCTTTCGAGCCTCTTAAGTAATTTTGAATAAACGACAGACTGCCGAGAGAGAGACCGGCCAAGCCAGGGGAAGGAGTCAAGCAGGGAATTAGTCTGGAATCTTTACGTGACCACGAGAAAAGGACATCTGGTTTCTCTTGGACGCCGTTGAGGTGCAAACGGCCAGTCTGGAAAGAATTCCCGTGAATCGGGAATGAGTGATAAAGCCTCCCAACCGAGCCCTTCGCACGTGGAGCAGGTCGTTCACGCCTGACAGAACCTCTTCCACAGCCATGGCCAAAAACGTAGACCAGGAGCCAAGCTCGGTTTCGGAATGCCCGGTCTGCTGGAACGCTTACGACAATGTTTTCCGGACCCCCAAACTCCTGCGGTGTGGCCATTCCTTCTGCATTGAGTGCCTGGCCCATCTCAGCCTCATCGCTGCCACCCGGAACCAGCTGCCTTGCCCTCTTTGCCGCTGCCTGACCTTGCTGCCGGCCAACCAGCAGGTGACCGAACTGCCCACCAACGTCTCCCTCTTGCACAAGTTGGGCTTGGAACCCAACCACATCATCCTGGAAGGGCGGCAACTGTGCCTTAAGGAGCAGCGCAAGGCCAGGTACTTCCTGCGGCAACCCAGGGTCTACACCCTGGACCTGGGCGTGGACCCCGAACTAGGCACCCAGCCTTACTCCGAGAGCCCCCAACTGGCCACCGTGGCCAACACGCCCACCGTTCCTCGGCGCTCCCTTCTCCGAGAATGCATCCGGAACCCGCACCTCCGGATCTTCACCTACTTGATGGTCATTATCTTAAGCGTGACTTTGCTGCTCGTCTTCTCCGTCTTCTGGACAAAAAACTATTTCCCAGGTTTGGGATGAGGGAGAAGCAGACCTTGGGGAAGTTGAATTTGATTGAAGCGGGGTGGTGGCGGGGTTCCCGCAGGGCTTGGGAACGGAGGAACCCGGTGACGTATTTTGGGAAGGGAGAAGCAATCCTTTGGCTGAAGAGCTCAGCGCCTGAATTTAGGGATCAAGAAGGTAGGAGAGATGATGGCTATGATGACCGTTTGCCTACGTCCAATGCCTGGGTCATAAAGAGGGAGCTCTCCTTGGCAGAGGGAACACACTACAGAATTTGGGAATGGGAGATGGTACACTGTCCAACGCAGAGATCTTCAAAAGAGTTTGGCTATTACCCCGATTGAAAAAAAAACCCACCAGCACCAACTTGTCTCCAGAAGTTGTAGGTGCTTCAACGCTGGAGGTTTTTTAAAAAAGACACCGGACATTCACTTGTCTGAAATGGTATATAGGGTTTCCTGCTTGAGCAGGGCGTTGGACTAGATGACCTCCAAGGCCCCTTCCAATTCTTTATTATTCTCTTTACAATACTTAGAGGAAAGTCAAGTTCAATTTATCTTTGTACTTTAAGGTGCAGCGTTTGTAAATGCAAAAGTGTGGACCTCTGTACGTGTGGGAGAGAGAAGAAAGAGAGAAATCAAGAGAATCAAATCAATGATATTAAAGAAATGTTTCATTTTTTCCCCCCTTTCATCCTCTGGGCTGGTTTGCATCGTTTATTTATTAAATGCTCTTCTCACTGCCCAAATATTACGAAGTTCACCAGGTCCTGTGTATCTAGCAAATGCATTCATCCCCCACGGTAAAATTGTTTTGACCAAGATTAGGGGAAGTTTTTTTTCCGCAGTTCTGGAAACCTGGCCTTTTTGGCGTTCGATTTCAGTGGGGTGAATGCAAATGTGGGCTAATTCATTCACTGTGTCAATGCTGCCACTGAATTACAACTGAGGGGGGTTGAAATTAAATTTATGGAGGAGGGAGCAGGGCAGGAAGGAATCCAACTTTGGTTGCCCAGAAGGGAATTTAGAAGAAGTCCGTGTTGTGTGAAGAGTGAAGAGAAGGGAGGAGAGGAAAAGGGAATGAAGGGAGGGAGGAGAAAAGGAAAGAAAGGGATAGAAGGAAGGATTTATCAGTCCTTACGCTCATTAAACAGGTGGCTGTATAACACGAGGACCACCTGTGCAACCCATCAGGCCCTAAGTTTCAAAAGACAAAAACTGCAGACAAGGGAACGGGTGGAGGCTTTGAAAGAGATGCAGCCACTTTGCTTTAATACTTGTTTTTCTTTAAAAAAAAAAGATCTCTGCCCAACAGAGAAAAGGGCCCCGATCCCAAACAGAGAGGCCCAAAGACCACCTATCTGAGGGGACCCCCCCTGGATCCCCCGGAAGCGTGTCCATCCGAGATCAGCCAAAAACAGGGTAGCCAACCTTTATCCCCCGGGGTTGAAAACTGTGTGTGGGGGTTGTGGTTGGTTTCCCCCCACCACGGCGAGAATCCGGAGCCCCACCAGAGAAGGAAGGAAGGACGTAAATTAAAAAAAATAGGACGTGAGAAAGGGTCAGGCGTGGGTGGAAATACCCTGCTTATTCCGCCATCCAGAGCTTGAAGGTCCGGTCGTAGGAGCAGGTGGCGATCAATTGGCCGTCCATGGAGATGTCCAAGCCCATGACTTTGCCTTCGTGTCCGGCCAAAGTCTTCAAGGGAGACCAGCCCGGGTGGGTCCACACTTTGGCCGTGTTGTCGTAGGCCCCGGTCAGCAGGAAGTTGCCGTGATTCGCTGGAAGGAGGGAAGCACAAAGACAAAAGGATCCACGGGGGGCGCTCGGGAGAGCAACAGATCTCTGGGCTGCTATTGCAAGCTGTCAGGATTCCGGGGATTGCCCCAATGAAATCATGAGCCTCCAGCCAAGGTTCAAAAGAAAGCCAAAGATTTATTAGGAGCAACATGTCCGGCATTAACCTGGAGGAAGTGAACTCTGGCATACAGTCGCCTGTGACCCTGTTTGCCCCCTGGGTGTGTCATCAATCAGGTTCTCCAATGAAGCACCTTCACAGGCTGGGTGTCATCCATCACATTCTCCAATTAAGGGTTTTAGTGCACTGCTCCTTCAGATTCCACCCCCCACCCCGAGTTGACACAAGCAGCTAAAAACAGGAACGGGGAGGGAGAGGACAAGGGCAAGGGAGGGATAACTTAATGGAGGGAAGATTGTTGTTGTTATTATTATTATCTAACTTGTACCCCACCTTTATTATTTCTATAAATAAACCAAGGTGGGGAACACTTTCGCCACACCTTCCTCCTCCTATTTTCCTCACAACCACCACCCTGTGAGGTGGGTTGGGGTGAGAAAGAAGGACTAGAGGAAAGTCATCCAGTCAGCTTTCCTGGCTAAGGCAGGACTAGAACTCACAATCTCCTAGTTATTAGCCCAAAGTCACCCCGCTGGTTTTCATGGCTAAAGTGGGACTAGAACTCACAATCTCCTAGTTATTAGTCCAAAGTCATCTGGCTAAGATGAGACTAGAACTCACTGTCTCCTAGTTATTGACCAAAAGTCACCCAGCCAATTTTCAGGGTTAAAGTAGGAAGGACTCAGCATCTCCTGGTGATCGGTCCAAAGTCACCCAGCTGCTTTCATGGCTAAGGTGGGACTAGAACTCACAATCTCCTTGTTTCTAGTCTGAAATTTTAAGCACGGCACGGAAGTGGGTATCCAGAAGGGATCTGCCCCCCTCTCTGCTGGGAAGTTGTGGTTTTTTTTTGTCAGTTTGAAGCTTAACCTACATTTCCAAGGGTTTCACTCACCAACTGTTAACCAAGTTTGATGTGAGGCTGATTCGCTTGTCTTAAGACTGGGCAAAGCTGGCTGGGTGACACCCCGAGGGGCAGGCTAAGTTGGCTTAAAAGAAGAAGGGAAGCTGCCCCATTGCCCTCAAATCTTAGCCCCATCCGTGGGGCCCCCCTCAGCCGTTCCCCAAAGTCCACGCTTGGGTTTTCAGAGTGCAGATTTTAGGCTCCTGGGGGGCCGTGGTGGAGAGACGTACGTTCAAATTTTACTCCGGTGATCAGATTCTGATGGGCGGGGATGGTGTAAATGCACCTCCTCTGACGAAGGTCCCAAACTTTGCAGGTGTTGTCTCCGCTGCCAGTAGCGATGTGGTACCTACAAATGGGGGGAGGAGGAAGAAGAGTGTTCTCACCCGGCTCCCCAAACACGACAAACCCTCTGACCTGAACTCAACAGATTCCTTTAATCAGGAGCCCCGGCAAAAAGTTTCCCTCTCACCGCAGGCTAACAAGTCCATCCGGCCGGGACATCTATTCATCTCCGCCCTCTGTTTTTTTGTCTCCAGAGCTAGATGGAGCTTCGACAGCAGCAGTGGCTCTGCTGTCCCAAGGACCGGCCCATAGATTTCCGCTGCTCTCCTCTCCTCAGCCCTCTTTCTTTTTAAATGTTTTATTAGATTTTTATTTTTAAATAGAGATCAATATCAATACATGGACAGCGTGGCCCCTGGATATGATTCATTTGGATACAAATAATGATGATCATAATAGTTGTTATAGTACTCAAACTTATATAACCCTAGTATTAATATACATGGTGTTTTTTTTTAAAGTAGTTATTCAATATTTCAGTATTCACTCTCCTCAGCCGTCTGTGCATCCATGTGTCAGGCACTGGACCCAGCTGTTCCTCTTCTCCCTCATCAGCCACCACCAGACCTGGGGGCTGTTGCCTCTCCACCTGAGGGCTGATGGACGGCCCAGGCTCCGCCTCTGTCTGTCTGTCTGTCTCTCTCTCTCTGCCAGCTCCATTCCCTCTTCCCCTTCAGACCTCTCAGGTTGCCTTGATCCTAAGCCCGACTCCCACGCCTCCCCCTTCTCCTCTGATGTGGCTGCTGGACAGACCACCACAAGGAGAGAAGCTGGGGCTTATACTTACCTGAGGAGGGAGGGGGAGTGGAAGGATGAATGAACCAACGTTAAGAACATACGAGTCATGGCAAGATATCGCACTTACCCGTTAGGGGAAAAGCTGACCCCGTAAATCTCTTTGAGGTGACCTTCCAAGAACATGATGCAACGCCCGGTGCGTAGGTCCCAGACACGCCCAAAGGCGTCAAGGCCGCTGGAAAAAACACACCAAAATATGTCAAATAAATACAGGTAGCCTTCAACTTACAAACATTTATCTACTATTAGAAGTTACAACGGCACTGAAAAAAGTGACTTATGACTGTTTTTTGCACTTATGACTGTTTTAGCATCCCCATGGTTACGTGATCCCCATTTACGACCTTCCCAAGTCAACGGGGAAAGGCCAGGTTCGCTCAACGACCGCTTGGCTCACTTAACGACTGCAGTGATTTACGAAACCGCCATGGCGAAAGGGTTGTAAAGTTACATGTGACTCACTGAAGAACCGCCTGGCTTAGCAATGGATATTCTGAGGTCCGTTGAGGCCGGACAGCAAGGACTCCCTTGTGGGAGGGGTTCCAACTGATGAAGGTCGGCCTTGGGAAAGTCTTCCCCACCTGGCGTGGGACCCCGTTTGGCCAAGGAAGGCCTTGGTACAGATGCTGAGGGCTTACCCAGTGCCTGCTAAGGAGCCGTCGCCATGGAAGGCGATGTCGTAGACCCCTTTGCTGTGCCCTTCCTGGTGAAGAATCTCCTCTTGGGCTTCAAGGTCCCACAAACGCCAGGAGTGGTCATAGCTACAGCGGGAGAAATGAGGAAGGTTAACCTGGCAGGTCTTGTAGAGGCCCAACAAGTATTTCCTCCCCTCCACGGTGTAGAAGTCTCAGTGCTATCAGTCTCTCTCTCTCTCTCTCTCTCCCTCCCTCCCTCTCCATGTCTGTCTGTCTATGTATGTATGTCTATCCATCCATCTATATCTATCTTTATCCATGTCTATATATCAATCATCCGTCATATCTGTCTGTCTGTCTGTCTCTCTCTATCCATGTCTATGTATGTATGTCTATCTATCCATCTATATCTATCTATATCCATGTCTATCAATCAATCATCCATCCATCCCTCTTTTTATCTATCATCTCTATCAATCGTCTCATATCTCCTCTCCTCTCCCTCTCTCTCTCTCTCTCCCTCCCTCCCTCTCTCTCTCTCCCTCCCTCTCCCTGTCCTCTCTCCATCCCCCATCCATCTAGATCTGAACTGTGGTGGAGCAGTGCTTAAAATACAGTCCTGAAGGCAAATTCTTCCCAGAGCCAGAAGTTTGATCCTGACCGGCTCAGGTCGACTCAGCCTTCCGTCTTTCCGATGTGGGTAAAATGAGGACCCAGACTGTTGCGGGGGGACAAGAGGCTGACTCTGTAAACTGCTTAGAGAGGCCAGTAAAGCACTGTGAAGCGCTAAGGGCTCTAGAACTATTTTAACTATTTCCTCAGCAGGTTGCTCTCTGGATGCCCGGGACCACAACTCCCAGCAGCCTTAGCTGGACAATTTCAATCCTCCCCCCCCCACCCCCCCATTTAGCAGAGGCCTTCTTACCATGTGGTGCCCAAAAATCTGCCAGAGGGATGCCAAGTGACTCGGGCCACTCTCACCGTGTGACCTTCTATATCAGCCACTGGTTCATCGCTGGAAGAAACCGAGAATGCCCCATTAAAACTAAAACAACACCAAGAAGGTGGATAGGTAAAGGCATCAGTGCTAGAAGGAAGTAGGGTGTGTGGAGGAGGAGGAGGAGGAGGAGGAGGAGGAGGAGGAGGAGGAGGAGGAGGAGGAGGAGGAGGAGGAAGGCTGTGGGGTCCTTGGTGCTCTCTGAGCTTGGTGGTTTTCTTGCAGACGTTTCATAACCCAAATAGGTAAAGACATCAGTGCTAGAAGGAAGTAAGGTGTGTGGAGGCGGAGGAGGAGGAGGAAGAGGAGGAGGAGGAGGAAGGCTGTGGGGTCCTTGGTGCTCTCTGAGCTTGGTGGTTTTCTTGCAGACTTTTCATAACCCAAATAGGTAAAGGCATCAGTGCTAGAAGGAAGAGGAGGAGGAGGAGAGGAGAGGAGGAGGGCTATGGGGTCCTTGGTGCTCTGAGCTTGGTGGTTTTCTTGCAGAGGTTTCGTGACCCAACTGGATGTCACCTAGCACTGAAGACCCAGGGCTAAATGAAGCTCCTGTTGAAAAGGAAGGGCCGTTCTGTCTGCTCGGATGTAGCTTGGCAACAATGCCAGGCAGCGCCACTCACGAGCGTTATGCCATGTGGCCTAGTGCTGCTTCAGCAACCTCGGAAGGGCTGCAAATTCTGGAATGCAAAACTGAGGCCATGAGAGGAATGTGGCAGCAGCCCCACTCGGTTCCTGCAGTGGGGAGTTTAGCCTTCGAAGTTACTGGGATCTGGTGCCTTGAATTTATGGGAGGAGTCATGTTATTAAGGAGCTGGAACAACTGAAGGAATTGGCATAATTGATTCCTGCTTTTTGTTATTTATATATATATGTGTGTACCCCACCTTTATTGTTTTTTTTTACAAATAGGGAAAGGTGGTAAACATGCCCCAAGCACTTTTCTCCTCCTATTTTTCCCACAACAACCCTGTGAGGTGGGTTGGGCTGAGAGGAAGAGGGACTGGCCCTAAGTCACCCAGCCAGCTTTGATGCCTGAGATATGACTAGAACTCCCAACCTCCTGGTGATTGGCCCAAAGTCTCCCAGCCGTGTTTCATGGATAAAGCAGGATTTGAACTCACCATCCCTGGCTTTCTAATCTGGCGCCTTAACCCCTAAACCGAGCTGACACTCCTATTTGATTTCATGCAAAGTTCTGTTTTTCCTTGTTTTATTTCCTTCTTCCCTTTCTTTCCTCAGGCCGCTAAATTTGAGGCCCAGGCTTTGAAAAAGCAAATTAACCTTTTTCTTACCAGCAGAACAGAACTGTGAGCTGCCTGGGGTTGTTGGCCAAGATGGGTGGCCATAGAAATCGAAATCAAAATTGAAATCAGTAAATGCTGAGGGTTTATCGGACATAGCAAATGAGAAAAATCGGCACAAAACCTTTCCAGGCTCCAGAGCTTGACAGATCCATCAGCTGCGCAGGAGGCCAGATTGACGTCCTTCTTGTCCAGCGAGATGGTGGCTTTGGGGTGGAAGACGATGGCGCCGACGTTGGTGTTGTGCCCTTTAGGAGAGGTGAGAAAGCGGCGAGTTCGAATCGCGATTTGCTTGCCTGGTTCTTAACCAGGCTCTTGTTTGTGGGTGTGGGTCGAGGGGAGGGGAAAGAGACGCCGGTACCTCGCAAAGTGAGGACGAGGTTGCAGTCTGGCACGGTCCATATCTTGCAGAGGCCGCTCCTGTGGGCCGAAAGGAGACCACAAGGAAAAGATGAGGACCTTTCACTGCTGTCAGGGATTCGCACTCCACATATTCAAAGCCTGCCTCTTTGCATTTGGAATGCTTTTTTTTTTTTTAGTAGAGGCCCTAATTTTTTTTCTTCAATTATTCATGGCAAGTAATCAACGGATTAAAGGTAAAAGTTCCCCTCCTTGCACATGCGTGCTAGTCATTTCCAGCTCTAGGGGGCGCTGCTCACGTCCGTTACAAAACCAAAGAAGAGCCAGCGCTGTCCGAAGACGTCTCCATGGTCATGTGGCTGGCAGGACTAAACGCCTTTGAAGGCGCATGGAACGCTGTTCCCTTCCCACCAAAGGGGTCCCTATTTTTCTACTCGCATTGTTTACATGCTTTTGAACCGCTAGGTTGGCAGCAGCTGCTGGGACAAGGAACGGGAGCTCACTCCGTGATGCTGCGCTGGGGATTCAAACCGCTTGAACTGCCGACTGTTCTGATTGAAAAGCTCAGCATCTTAGCCACGGCATCCCTTCATAAATCCATTAAACTAAAGGATAACCATAACTAGACAGCAATACCACCCACACATCATGAAGGTGCGTAGAACCTAATAAAAATCCAGATGAATCTTAAATTAAGAGGGTCATATCAGTTGCAGATTTAGGACGATTCTATTAACGTCAGTTTTTTTGTTTTAAACTGGGTGTCCCCTTCAACCGTTCTTTTGCCCTCTCCTGCCTGAGGTGACCCCCCCCCCAAAAAAAAGACAACAAAATCCTTCTTACCAACAGGCTGTGGCCAAGAATTTGGAGTTGGAACTGAAGTGACAAAAGGAAAGAGGACGGTCATCCCCAATTTGGCTGCAGAAGTTATTCAGGGACTGGAAATGAAACCATACCGAAAGGATTAAGCTGCCAATTTTTTCCAAAAGAAATATTTATATTGCTGGTCCACACATGCCATGCGCCAAATCATAAATAATAACCTTTCAAAAGGATTTAAAAGGAGAGAGAGAGAAAAAGAGAGGATAGAAAAAGAAAAGTAGGAAGAAGAAAACATTCATTCCTGAATGTTTCCTGTTACATCCTCAAAACCATTTATTGAAGGACTCAGAATTTTTTTTAACTTTTATACAGGTAGATACAACCACAATTGAAAACAGCAAAATTTCTGTTGCTAAGCAAGATAATTGTGACGTGAGTTTTGCTCAATGAGGCTAGTAGATGGTTTTTTTTTTTCCCCCTAGCTAGAAAAAGCCGCTGACTAAATATGCAACGTTTAGTATGCAGAGCAGATCTAGTCATGCAAAGCTTTCGTCTTTTTTTCTGGAGGTTTTAAGCTATAAATCTCTGACCTGCAGCATGGTAGAGAGAGACCCCTTACTCACCCTTAAAGATTTGTGAAGCTCTTGTTTCTGAGATGTCCGGGTGGCTTCAGGGACTTCCTTAAAAAACCGGGCTTCGTCTAGTCGCTTCACTGCCCTGCACAAGGACAGAGAGAAATGTGTTACACATAAAAGAGGGTATCTGTAGCTCAGGGTTGAACTGTGGGATCCTTGGTGCTCTGTGAGCTTGGTAGGTTTTCTTGCAGACATTTCATTACCCAACTAGGGAACATCATCAGTGCTAGGAGGGAAAGCGATTTACAGAGAGGAGGAGGAGGACTGTGGGGTCTTTGTTGCTCTCTGAGCTGGGTTATTTCCTTGCAGACGTTTTGCTAACTAGCTAGGTAACACCATCAGTGCTAGGAGGGAGTGGGGTTTGTTCTCTCCCTTGCGCTAATAGTCATACCGTGGAAGAGAGTAGTTTGCAATCCAGAGTCTCGCCGTCTTCAAGGTGGTTGGCCCTTCGTGGTACCAAGTCTGCTGATACTAAGAGAGACAAATTGCAAAAGGAAGTGAAGGCACATAGCCAACATTTTGTTTCAGAAGCGATGTGATGTATTTTTCCAGAGAGGATTCCTGTGTGTTTCCACCCTCACTGGAAAATCATGAGACATTCATTTCCACAATTGAGTTTAATTTGAACTCCATTAATTGCTATTGATTTATTCACGGAAAACTCTTGATCCCTCCTGCTCAAAGTGAGTGTTCTTGTACACATGTGTTTGGCACAATGGAAATTCAACCAAGAGAAGACAAAGAACACAAAAAAGTTTTTTAAACGGTTAGCCCCATGAGAGCAGCTCTATAACAAACTCACCTCTTCTTTGCACTTCTTGGATTTTTCATCATCCTTCTTGGTTTTCTTCAAGGCGTCGGGACCAACGACTGAGAGGATATTACGCAGCCTGGCGAGAAGGAAATGTCGATGTGAAAGTGCTTTTCAAATAAAGACGAGGAAGGTCAGTTCAACTGAAACATATCGACCCCCACCTCTCCCTCCTTTCGGCCGGGCCTTCTCCGAACAGCGTTATGGGTTCTCCAAGCGCTCGTAAGCAGGCCTTGACCTCGGAGTCATCCGTGGAAACGTTGATTTGCCTCGCTCGTTTCCGGCGCTCGAATTCGGCCAGGACTTCCGCTTGGCGTTCACTGATGTGGTCGTCCAAGTCAAAAACTTCCCCTGGCCCGGAGGAGAAATTCAGTTATGGTTATTATATATTATAGTTCCATTATTATCCACCCCCCACCCACCCAAGTGGGAGACCCTACACCATTTCTGACAAATGGCAGTCCAATCTCTTCTTGAAAGTCTCCAGGGATGGCACGTGTGTGTCCTTGATGGGAAATGGGGGGGGGGGGGAGAGCAGGATAACAGGTGATGAAGACCAGAGAAACTGCATACTCCACTTTATATTTCCTATATTAAACCCAAAGGAGGAAAAAAACAACAACCCCAAACTTCGTTGCTTTCCTGAGTCACTGGGCACCTTCTTACCGGTGGAGATGTTGATGTTGCCAGCCTCGATGGCCGCTTTGACGGCTTCTTTGCCCATCATCCCCGACTCCCCCTTCAGGATCCGTTCGCGCTCTTTCTCCTCCAGGCTCCCATAGAAAATGGGGGCTTTCTTAGCAGGAGGGGCATCTCCATCGTCGGACGCCTTCGTTTTGGTCCCCTGCAAAGGAAACCAAGGCGTTGACGATCCAGGGTGGTTGCCGTGGGGCAAATCCTCAGCCCAAAGGGGATGATGGGAGTTGTAGTCCAACCTCCCGGCATACTGATAGCAGACTCCGCCTTGCACTCTGCTCCCCACCTTTTTAATTATCATATCGATGGGATTCTTCTTGTGGCTGTGTGTGCGTGTGTTGTGGTTTTTTTGTAAACTACCTGGGTTTGACCAGCCTCATGCGATAAGGGCCACACTGAATCGAGTCCACACTGGGCATGAGAGATGGGACAGTCACCCCCTATCAACCATCCATGCTAGTCAATGGTATTTGTGATACATATTTAAATGTTCAGTTGACTGAGTTTCATGTTGAAAGAATAATAAATAACATAATAATAATATTAATAATAAATTCTTAGCAGCCTCCTGCTTGTAGTGATGAATGAAGGCGGCTGAGGATAAGAGGAGGGGAGAGTTGTATGACCCCAACCTTGGAAACAGCAGCCCTTTATCCAGCCTGGCCATGAATGGCTCTGGCTGTGGACAATGGGCATTGTAGTCCAAAGTTTGAAAGGTAACGGTTGGAAAAAAGGGGGATTTGTTGTTATTTTTTTTCTTCATTTTATTCTTGTGAGGAAGGACAGCCGCCTTCCCAAACAGACCCCCCCCCCTACCCCCCGAGTGTTCCACCCCTCCACCCACCCCACTTTGACCCACCGTGGAGCCTCTCGGCGTAGCCATAGCGCCCCTTACAGCCGGTCCGGAAGGATAAATAAGCACTTCCGGGGCAACAACCATCCGGCGGGGAGCGCCTGAGCCAATGGCGTCTCTCTCTGCAAAAAAAAAAGAGAGAGAGAGTCGGCCGCTCTAGGCGGCGCCTGGCCTCTCTATGACGCGTTTCCGGCGGGCAGGATTTTTTTGGGGGGGGGGAGAACTTGAAACGAAAATAAGTGTTGCGCATGCGCACCTGGAGGTGCCGCTGGACCGGCCGGAGGATGCTGCGGAGAAAGCCGACCCGGCTGGAGCTGAAGCTGGACGACATCGAGGAGTTCGAGGGGGCCCGCAAGGAGCTGGAGGTAGGGGAGACCCTCTGGGGAGTCCCCAGCCGGAGGCTGCTCGTGCTCCTTTTTTTTTTTTTTTTAAGGAGCCCGGGAGCACTCTGCCCATGCTCAGAGACCCTCTCCCCGTGGGAAATGCTTTTAAAGTGGTTTCAAGGAAGCGGGGGGGGGTGCTTTATATAGAGAAATGCCCGCACTGATGGCCTAGGAATATTTTGCACATGCTCAGAGGCAGCCTTTCCCCAAGGATCTGCAGTTGTTAGCATTCCAGATACATTTTTATCTATCATCTCTCATTTATTTATACCTACATCTATATCATCTCATCTAACTATATATCTCATCTATATAAACTATTAATCTATCATCTATATCTCATCTATAACATCTATATATCATCAATCTCTATCCTCAGATGTCTATCATCTTCGCATCTATCTCTCTATATCAGCTGTATCTCATCCATATCTATTTATCATCTATCTGATCTATATCATCTATTTCTCATCTATATCTGTCATCTATATCATCTATATAGGTCTGTCTGTTTGTCTATATCTATCCTGGTTCTCAAGGACCAGGTTCACTGTTTTTAGTTTATTTAAATGAAGGGCAGTATATATGTCCAGGTGGAAAAAATAATAAAGCATGTTATTGGTTAATGTTATTGGTTGAATATATTCCTGCAGACAGAAGATTGGAAAACTTTTTATAATGGCGAAGAAAATATCACTTTATAGCCAGGAACCAAAGAGATGTATCCTTCTCCTTCTAAATGTACAAAAACAGCCCAAATGTGCTCTTTGTATCCACGAGGATATGTTGTATTTTAAATATTAGCCTCCCTTTATATATTTGCGGGTTTTTTTATTTTTGAATATAAGCTGGGCAGGAACTGAAATGCATCTCTTTTGTCCTGGGTGCTGTTGGAAAGGTGGAATAGAAAGAAGTTCTTTCAGCAAACATGATTGTTGCCAAATAATCTAGAAATTGGACTTTCGGGTGGTCTTAAATTTTAACGTTTTAAAGCAAGGGTCGAATAGCTGCTGGCCAAGGATGACTGAATACAAGTCTGTTTTGATCTTGGGAATCGTAAGTATATTTTCCTGATTCCCCCCCCCCCTTTCTGGGCCGTTTCCAAAGCGTTTGGTTATTCAGTGAATTGAAATGCATTCCATAAAGAGTTGCAGTTGCGTTTCCTGAAGGATCTATACTTTCTTGGCTTTAATTTTTTTTGCAGATGCACAAAAAGCAGCGTGAAGAAGTCGACATGGTGGGAACCAATGACGGCGAAGGGGCCCTGGCACTGAACCCGGATCACAAGAGCTGGGAACAGGTTATTCACGACCGGATCGGCTACAAACCACAGCCCAAACCCAGCAACCGTTCGTCGCAGTTTGGGAACTTTGAATTCTAGAGCGAATGGGGCGCAGTGGGGTTGAGCCTCCTCCATGAAGCATGCCTATGGAAGATTTATGACAAGCTGATTTACGAGGGGGACAGATGGAGCCGTTAGGATTTTATCCTTCTGGAAGATAAAAAAGACTTTTGGTATTCTCTAAAGAATGAAGTTGTGTCCTTTCTTTCCCACCCCTCCCACCTGAAGGCCGCCTTCAGACCCCCTTCCTGCCCTGGATAGTTTTATTTAATCTCCCATTTGCAACCAGGGGCCTTAAATCTTTCAACAGCAGTATTAGGATTCTGGAAAGAGCTGTCCTAGCATGTTGTGGTTAGCCGGAAGCAGGTGCGGACGGCTGAGGAGAGCGAAGACTCAGATGAGGGGCCAGGACCATCAGGGAGTGGACTGATGCCTTCAGAGATTGTGGGGGCTGGCAGCAGTGATGAGGAGGTTTCCCAGGAGCCTGTGCCAAGTGTGCGTGCGCGTAGGATTGCTCGTAGCAGCTACAACAGCATGGAGTAAGGCTGCAAGGTAATGGCCCCTCCTTCAAGGAGATAAAAGCCAGCTGTGAATTGGACGTTCATTGCAGGAAGCAAAGACGTTTTGAAACTCAGCCTCGTGGACATTACAGTATCTTAAGTTGGTATTTGAAGACTCTCGTGTTTTGTGAAATATTTCTTATCTGTGATTCTTGGCAGTCTTGTACAGTTTTGGCAAAGTTTGTGCTTATCGAAGTTAATTAGCTTGCAGCAGCCTTTTAACGGGGGATTCGTAAGACTCATTAAAAGGTTTCTGTTCCCTTTGGTTATTGTTTGTCTTAGTGGAAAAGGGTTTGGGTCAGAACATAGCATAACCTCTGCAGGCAAACCTTTCCAGATAGCGCTGTTGGGGGAATTGTGCATGGTGTTTATTTCTGTAAAACCACCTGCGCAGTAGGGAGGCAAACCCTCCAATCATTTTAACCAGGGTGAACTCACAAGCTTGCCTTTTCCTAGAAGTGGTTGGGCTGCTGCAATTAGCTTATTTTCCTCACTGCGCATCGTACCCCTTTCTCTAATGCCAAACTCGTTAAAATTGGGAGCTATTGTTGGGATATTCTGGCATGTTGTGCGTGGGGCTGTGTACGTACAAACCCGTTCCTCCGGTTTGGAAATGGGATAGAAGTACGAGACGGCTATTGTCATAGGGGTGTTCTGACCAAGGCTTCCTGAGACCATAATTAAGCACACGCTTAGTCCAAACAACTTTTTATTTCAACGCTGGGAATTATGTTTATTCCCAGCCCGTAATGAGTCCCAAACAGTCCCTCGTGATAAGCACCCACCTTTATCTCCTTTGAATTGCTGCCAACTAAAGTGCCAAATTAACTGTGAAAAGCCAAAGTCCACACAGACCTTCAAGGCTTAATCTAAACAGAGTGAATGTTGCTTCCTGCAAAGGCTCCTGTCCCTTTGCTCCTTCTTTATGTCTTATGGGAGGGGCCAATCACCCCCAAGCCTTATTCCCGAGTCGCCCCTTTTAACTATTCTTGCCTTCTGGCAGTTCTACGCACATGCGCACTGGGAACAGGCTCCCCTTATTCCTCTGCCTCACTGCTGTCAGATTCTGGCCCTGGCCCCATCTCTGTGTCGGATGCAGGACCCTCATCCAAGTCCTCCCCAGACTGGCCCATTTTCCTCCCCACTGTCCGACTCTGCTGCCATTGGACCACAACGGGAGGTGGGGGGTGGGAGGAGAAAGAAAGACAAATTGTAGATGATGGGTTGAGTCTCTTTATTCTAACGAACCACATAGGGTAGGCGTAAACCGTGTACTATAGAAGATAATAACAGCATAATCGTTAGTATTCACATAATGATAGCCGGTGGATATACTTCCATCGGCTAGGGATTTAAAACAGCCTTCTTATATGGTACACTACACAGCCCGATGAAGCAATACAGCTAAGGCACATTTTTTTTTTTTTGCTTTGTTTTCATGGATATACTGTAAATGGAGGGAGGAGGAAGACCAGAATAACACAGCTACGGAAAAACAATACTGGGTTTATGGTCAGTGAGTAAACGAGACAAGATTTTCTGTCCACAAACACTAGGGAAGGACGCTTGGCAGGCGATTTTGCAATTTTTCCCCTGCACACACACACACACTTTTCACGGAAAATACCCAATTGCCTCAATATACGGTGAGGTTCACATCCTCCGATTAACCAAGGAGACGCTCCCTTCTCTGGGTTTACACAGGATGGATAGAAGCAAGGCAACCGACGTGATGGGCTAACGCTACAGAGGGAGTTGGCCACGGTTGAAGCGCCACGAAATTGGGGGGGGGGGTCCGTGGATCTGACTCAACTTCGCAGCCGAGATGAAATGGTATCGTCAATCCAGTCTTTGTGCCTTTTGAGACCAGCGGAGAGAGGCAGAAAACTTGATTTTACGGTGAGGGGCCGGAGGGTGGGGGGAAATGGCTGATTCAATGCCACCCTTTTCTTTTGTGCAGTGATTGTAGTAAGAGCCAAACAGCCTGGAGGTAGCACAATATTGTTTGGTTGAAAAAGCAAAAACGCCAGCCTCTTTTAGTGAATGACGGAGCGGCTGCAGGCTTTGATTTCCGCGTGGTTGCAGTTCTCCCAGCTTGTATGTGCTTTTCCCACCCTTCAGGCAGTCAGATTTTAAAAAAAAAGTTTGATTTCTCAGCATAAACATTAATCCGGATTCTACCCTGCTCCTCGAGGTAATGCTGAACTACACACCCCAGCCGCCTCAGCCCTGCCTCTTCCTTCCTTACAAGGGGAAAAAGTGGCATCATCCCACAATGTGAATGCCTACAGGACAATTTGGGGGGCCTTGTGGGTCCATCCAGATGTGCCTAAAGTACAGGCGTGATTTAAAAACGATTCCTCCCCACTTTGCTGCTGTTTGCCATCCAGGAGATCCTATCCCCACTTAAAGGAGGAGGGAGGGATCACTCTGCCTAAAACGTGCACCCCAGCTTTGTTTAAAGCCAGTTAAGAAGGGCACGACGATTAGGTTTAACATTAAAAAAAAAAAAATTTAGGCCAGCCTGAAAATCAGAAAAAAAAAAACCTAAAAAACTGCAGGTTTATTTAAAATAAAAATGTTTTTTTTTTAAAAAAATCATACTTCTTCCCCCATTATTTTTCCCCAGCACGTCACAGTCGACAGCTAGAAACGAGTCCCGTAAATCAGCAAATGATTCCTTTTCACCCCCAGAACAGCCACGCAAGGAGAGGCCCTAGACTCGAACCCTTCCCGGGTGAAAGACAGCGGCTTCTTAGAACCAAATCCACCCCGCCATTTGGCAGTGGGCCCTGGGCCCCCGAGCGCAAAGCGGAGCTGACTTTTTTTAAGGAAGGAGGGCAGGATTGGCACTTGCCGGATTGTCGGTCCAATATACTGGCCTCGGAGGAGGAGGAGGAGGAAGGGTGGTTGTGTGTGCCTGCTTCTCGCGAAGGAAGAGCAGGTGCTCTGCCCCCTCCTAGAAGAGGCCGGTGCGAAAGTCCAAAAAGAGACCTGGGATGGCCAGGTCCAGCTCCTGTGTTTGAGTCAGGGCACAGTCTGAAAGGAAACCTGATCCAAGAATGCCATGTTTCATCCACCCGTTTGTTCGGAAAAGGTCGCCTTAGCTGGCCGTGGGTCACAAGTCTTCCCTCCCTCCCAAGACCCAAAGCTTTTGGGGAAGAGTGAAGCAGGAGGCACAAGGGTGGCCCCGTGGAAGCTGGAGGGGTGTGTGTCCCCCACGGCTTTCCTTCGCATGTTTCTAGTAAACCTGGTCCTTTGGGGGGGGGGGGGGAAAGGGGGGCATGGGGGGGGGAGTTGGGAATAGCAAAGAGAACCGTTAATGGCAATGCTCCGTGATGTCAACCACGACGGCTTTTTTCCAGCTGAAGAAGAAGTAGCCTGCGCCAGCGCCGGCAGCCACGGCGATGCAGAGATAAGCGTTGTAGGTCATGAAGATGAGCATCAGGAAGTAGCTGACCACCACCTGGAGGATGTGAAGGAGGGTCTGGAAGAGGTGAGGGAGGCTCAGCATCTGTTGGCTAACCGAGCGGAAAACGAAGGAAAATGAAGAGACAGGCACTCCCATTTCGTGGTTTTAGACATAACTCGAGGCAGCGGACGTACCTAGGGCACCTTTTCCTCTCCCTCCCCCTCCTCCTATTTTCCTCACCACCACCACCCTGTGAGGTGGGTTGGGCCAAGAAAGACTGGCCTAAAAAGTCACCCGGTTAGTTTTCATGCCTAAGGTGGGACTAGAACTCACCGTCTCCTGGTGATTAGCCCAATGTCACCTAGCCAGCTTTCACGCGTAAGGTGGGAAACTAGAATTCATTGTCTCCTGGTGCTTGGACCAAAGTCACCTAGGTGACTTTCAAATCTAAGGCGGGACTAGAAGTTACCGTCCCAAAGTCACCCAGCTGGCTTTCCTGCCCGAGACGGGACTAGAACTCGCTATCTCCTGGTTTCTAGCCTGCTGCCTGTGGAATGCCAACGTAACACAACCTCAGCTTTTGCTGAGACAGCAGTTCTGCCTCCTGATCAAGGACCCGGTTCGAAGTTTTAAAACGGATCAAAGGGAAACGTTTCGCAAAGGCTTTGAACGATGAAAGGCCCAGAACGGCTCCCTTGTGGCTCCCTAAGAAAAGCACAGCTCCTGCGTTTCTCACACCACAAGAGTCTAGGCTCTGTACCTATCCGGCTCCCTTTCGTTTTAATTTTGCCTTGCAGCCGAACGGCCACCACAGTGAGCTCACCCGACTGTTTTGTGCGTCTCCATCAAAATGGTCCCGTTGGGTCCCGGGAGAGGCATGGAGTTGTAACGGATACTGACTTGTGACTTCCGCAGGAGGCTTTCCCGGCCAATCTTCAAGCCCTCATAGAACATGGCCAGGAAGAAAATAGCCACAAATGCTCCAGCCATTTCTGAGATGAGAAAGAGATGAGGTTTATTAGATATATGGATATGAATATGTATGTATGTATGTACAGTTTGGCCTTCGGGTGCCTTGGAAAATAGCTTGACCCCTTCCTCCTCTCTGTGACAGCCCTTCAAATATTGGAAGATGCTCTCCTGTCTCCCCTGGTCCTTCTCTTCCCTAGACTAGCCAGGCCCAGTTCCTGCAACCGCTCATCGTATGTTTTAGCCTCCAGTCCCCTCATCATCCTGGTTGCTCTTCTCTGCCCTCTTTCCAGAGTCTCCACATCTTTTTTATAGCGTGGTGACCATGGAGGCAAGTCGTTGCAAGGATCCCATTGTTCTCACTGTCCAGAAATCTCCTCTTTAGTCCTAAGCTTGGTTCTCTCTCCTTGATTAGTTTCCCTCCATTGTCGTTCCAGCCGTCCCTCTGCTGCCCACTCCCCCAACTCACCTCCGGGGGTATTGATGACGAGCCCAGAAAACAGCAAAGGGACGTTTTGATAGCTGAAGTGAAAGGTCATATCCTGTCCAGAGAGAGAGAGAGAGAGAGAAAAAGAGTCTAAATGCTATTAGAGAGAGAGAGAAAAAGAGTAAAACGCTATTATGAAGATCAAGGCAAAAGTTCGCAGCTTACGATTTTAAAATAGGGGTAATCCCCAATTTACAGTTATTCCTTTAAAATAGGATAGGAATAGGAATATAGAATAGCAGAGTTGGAAGGGACCTTAGAGGTCTTGTAGTCCAACTCCCTGCACAGGCAGGAAGCCGTATAGCACTGATGGCAAACCATTTTGTTGTGGTGTGCCGGCACCCACATTGCAATGCACCCTGACCCCCTGCGCATGGGTGCACAATACACACCCCGCCCTCTTACCTGCACTGCTGCATGCAGGCACCTCCCAGCTGATTTTGGGCCTGTTTGAGGCCTTTTTTGGCCTCCAAAGGCTCGAGGGAAGCCTCTGTAGCCTTTGGAGGCCGAAAAACGGGCCTGTTTCGTCACTTTCACGTATTTCCAGAAGGCCCGTTTTTCGTCCTTCCCTCGTGGAATGTTGTGGGATGAGCTGGTAGGATTCCAGTACTGAAATTCTACCCGAGGATGCCAGTCTGTTTTTTTTTGTTTTGAATAAATCACTTTGAGAATATGTCGGTCTCGGAGTTAATGTTTCAAACGAAGGATTGCTGGAAGTCTGACAGCAGGTAAGTTTGGCTGAGGCTTGTGTGCCCACACAAACGGCTCTCTGCATGCCACAGGTTCACCATCACGGCCCTATAGCATTTCAGACAAATGGTTATCTAATCTCTTCTAAAAAAAACCTCCAGTGTTGGAGCACCCACAGCTTCTGGTGGCAAGTCGTTCCACTGATCGTCTTCCCTGAGCCCAAAAGCTCATACTTACCATCATTCCACCATGCATGTGTCCGGGGGCATTGGTGGGGTGATGGTGGGCGTGAGGATCCATGGTGGGGCTTGCGGAGCCGCTCATGTTGTGGTCCATGTGGCCCATATGGGCATGGTGCTCAGGATGGGCCATCCGGGGTCACGAGGAAGAGGATGAACCAGTGAATGCCTGCAAAATCCATTGACCGGGGTTAGAAAAAACATTCAGGAATTCAGGGTAGCTTTTCCGTAGGGCAACAATGACGAATGAAAAAATCATGCAAAGCAACCATGGTGAATGTGAGGCCCTGGGTGCTCGTAGAGCCTGGTTGTTTTCTTCCAGGTGCTTCACTACCATCCGTGCACTGAAGATGTTACCTAGTTTGGTAATGAGACGTCTTGCAAGGAAGCAACCAAGCTCCAAGAGCACCCAGGGCCTCCTCCTCTTCCTCTTCTCCACCTCTGCCACTCCACAACTTTTCATTTTCAATTTGTACACATGTTGTGCACTGACAATAAACGTTTGATTTGATTTGACACACCCAGCTCCCTTCTAGCACTGACGATGTTACCTAGTTTGGTAATGAAACGTCTGCAAGGAAGCAACCCAGCTCAGAGAGCAACGGGGACCTTCTCAGCCTCCTCCACTCCACACACCCCACTCCCTTCCCGCATGGATGACGTTACCTAGTTTGGGTAATGAAACGTTTTCAAGAAAACAGCCGAGTTCAAAAGAGCACCGAGGATCTTGCATTTATTTCAACCCTGAGCTACAGATATTCCCATCCAAAATACTGAATCATGCCTGACCTAGATTGGATTAAAAAAAAGTCAAGACTCGGGGATCTGTTTAAAAAATCAATTTCCTGCTGAGAACCTACAGATAAGTCTGAGAAGTTGACAGCGTGAAAAAGCAAGAACGCCGCGGGCTTCGGTCGTGCTCGGGCTCCATTTCAAACTGAATTAACTCAAAAGCCCCCAATCCGTGGCAAAACCACTTGTTGTCCTCGATAGCTCCTAATTTTATTGGAAACAGATCTCTTCAATCGCATTAGGGGAAACTGTGTCTGTATAGCAGAGAGGCCTCCAGGTGATTCCAAGCAATGGATGTCAGAACAACGCCATTCTCCTTGGCCTCTAAACGCATTAAGGTGGAAGGGATAAACAAGCAGAAGGACAAAATCTAATTTATTTAATCCCATCACTGGCAATCACCAGCCTCAAACTGGAGAAAGAAGAAAATAAAAGCAAATTGCTAAAGCTTAGCCCGTGGCAAGGGGGTGAGGTGACAGGAAACTGAACAGAACCTGGAAATTTTTGCCACCAGCTGCTCCAAGCTACCCTCCGTCCTTTCTTCCCTTTTCTTTCTTTTCTTCCTCTTTCTTTTACTTACCTCCCTCCCTCTTTCCTTCCTTCCTTTCTCTCTCCCTTCCTCCTTCCTTCCCTCTTTCTTTCTGCCTCTCTCTTCTTTCTTTCCTTTCCTTTCTTCTTCTTTCTTTCCTTCCTCTTCTTTCTTTCTTCCTTCCTTTCTTTCTCTTTCTTTCTTTCTTTTTCTTTCCTTCCTTCCTTCCTTCCTTCCTTCCTTCCTTCCTTCCTTCCTTCCTTCCTTCCTTCCTTCCTTCCCTTCTCCTTCCTTCCTTCCTTCCTTCCTTCCTTCCTCTAATGGTTAAGGTGAAGATTAACCAGCAGATCCTTCGTTTATAGCTTCCTGGACTTTGAAGTTTGGAAACCTGGAAAGGATTCAAAAGACAGGGCGACCTGATGTTATCGTTAATGACACAAATGGGAGTTTTGTTACAACTCTGTTAATAGTTACAGACAGGTAGACAACCCTGGTACAACCAGACTCCATAAAGTTACAAAGATTCAGGAGCAAATGTAAACAGAAACAACGAAATGAAGAGAAAAAAAAAGCCACAGCTAGCTACCACGATGGGCTAATTCAAAACATGGCTTGCTTTGGAACTGAGTGTTTGTATTATTATTATTTTTTGGGGGGGGGGGGGGGGGGGGAGAGTAACCTTTTCAGGGCAATTGATTTGAGCTTTTTTAAAACAATAAACAAACTGGTTTAAAGTCAGGTTGGACACAATTTGAGCCAAAGTTTGCTGCTTGCTCTTTTGAAACAGAAACAAAAATAATAAAACGGAGGCAATTGCTGTTATGGGTACTCGAAAAGCATCTCGCAACCAACAGCTTTTATATAACATGCTCATCTTAATGGCCAATTTACCTCTTTTGGGGATTGGCACAATATATTGTCAAAGGACCCACACAGGATGCCCAGCCACAACATACCAAAGCGATTTTAAAACTAACCACCTAACCTGATTTACCTAGCTTGGATAATGAAACGCCTGCAAGAAAACCACCCAGCTCAGAGACGCTATAGTCATTGTCCTCCTCCTCCTCCTCCTCCTCCTCTCCACACACCACATTCCTTTCTAGCAGTGATCTTACCTAGTTGGATCATGAAACGTCTGCAAGAAAAAACACCAAATTCAAGGCTTCTGCATGTAAACAGAGAGAAAGTCCCAGTCCCTTCTAACACTGATGTCATTACCTAGTTGGGTCATGAAATGCCTGCAAGAAAACCACCCAGCTCAGAAAGCACTAAGGACCTCAGTCCTCCTCCTCCGTGCAAACTTTACTCCCTTCTAGCTCTGATGACGATACCTAGTTGGGTCCTGAAACGCCTGCAAGAAAAACCACCCAGCTCAGGGAGCACCAAGGACCCCTCATGTCAACCCCCAGCTGCAAATACTCTCCTTTATCGGTAAAGTTTCTTCCCAGCATGCAATGCAAGAGTCCTGTCCTTTCAACCATGGGGCATTCTTCCCTTCAAGATCTCTCGGTCTAACCACACGGCAAGGATGGGTATCTCTGCTATTGGTCAGATTTTATTAATTCCTCCAAAAACTGATTTTTCTTGTTCTTAGCAATTGCCTTTTGGCACCTGATAAAACAGGCTAGGTGTTGTTAATGAATGTCTTCAGGGCTGAGAGGGAAAACATTCCAATATTGGTTTGGATTAAAAACCAAATCCTAAGCAGATCTTCTAGATAAGCTGATCCCTCCTGCACAGGCAAATCCTTGACTTAATGACCGTCGTTCAAAGTTACAACGGCACGGAAGAAAGACTCCCGCACGGATACGTGATCAAAGTTTGGTGGTTGACGATCGGCCTGGACTTAGGATTCCCCGAGTGGCGTGATCCACTTTTGAGACCTTCCCAGCCAGCATCCAACAAGCAAAGGCAAAGAGGGAAGGGCAGATTCCCTTAAAGACTGCACGATTCACTTAAAGACTGCAGCAATTCGCTTACAAACCATCCCCCCCCCCCCCCAAAAAAAAAGGTTGTCAAATCGGGTGCAACTCACTAAAAAAAGCATCCTGCTTAGCAAGAGAAACTCTGTTCCCAACTGTAATTGTGTCACAAGTGCTTGGGCAGGGGGTTGGACTAGATGATCTACAAGGTCCCTTCCAACTCACTCACTCACTCACTCACTCTAATTCATCTAATCTATCTATCTTATCTACCTACCTATCTATCCTCTACTTTCTCTATATCTATATTTCGACTCCTACTTGCTCATTTCAACATAGCTAGCCAGTTGGTTTTTTTTGAAACATCCTCTTTAAGATCGGTGTTCCAATACTGAGACCATAATTTTTTTTATTAAAAATAAACACACTGAAATTGATTGGTTTCCGCCCCCCTCCTCCAGTTCAGGGAATCTGTTCCAATTCTTGAATATCTGTAGAAACCAAATCCATATATATCCAAATATATATATATATTTGCTTATTTTATTCAGGATATGTACGTTGCTTTCTTTCCTGTACAGCCAAACTGTCTAGAAACTTAAAAGGGAACTTCAAAAGGCCTGTTTGTACTCATGGCTCAGCAACAAAGCAAAAATGTGACTGGGTGTGCAGAAAGTTTTGGGGCCAGTTGAACGAGGTCCCTGGATCGCGGCCAATTTACTGATAAAAGGGACAGAAACGGAACACCACCTGCGTGTAATTTCCCACCGCGAAGTTGGCCTTAAGAAAAAAAAATCTTCGTTAGTCCGAACCAGGCACGTTAAGGAGATTACAAATTTGAGAAAGCTTTTCCTGGCCAAGTTGCACCTGTTTCAGGTGAATTTACCCTCCTTGTTGTCACCTGCAAATGCCGATAACAATAGGAGGGTCTCGTCTTTCAGACAGGAATTTTAAACAAAGGAGGAAATAGCAGACCTCTAGCCACTCCCTAAAAATGGAATATATGCGCATGACTTTTTATGCCTATATTGTGTTTGGGGAGTGACTAGAAACCCTCTGCATTCAGAAGTTATCAGGCTGAGCTGGGAGATGTAGAAAGAAAAACAAAGGCGAGAGATAAATCTTGATTACGAAAGCTAATTATGACAATTATAACCTTGAGCGCTTTTGTGAAAGAGTTTCACACCCCTGCCCATCACACCAGCAAGGTGTGTATTCTTTCAATCCTAGGGTACAAACTGTGTGTCTTTCCTAACAGTTTCTGACACATTCCTTCCCTTTTCAACCCAAATCCCTCCCAAGAATGGGAAGATCTGGGAAAGAAATGAGAATATTTAATGGTCATCCAACAGGTAATATAGACAGTCCTCAACTTACAACAGGTTGCTATGCGATTGTTCAAAGTTACTACGGCACTGAAAAAAAGTAACTTAGGACCTGTTTTTCACACGTGGCCCTTGGAGCAAACCCCCATGATCAAAATCCAGACGCATGTACTTATGACAGTTGCCTTGTCTCGGGGTCATCTTTGGTCACCTTCTGATAAGGTCAACACGGAAGCCCGACTCACTTAACCACTACAGTAAGGAAAGTCATAAAATGGGGCACAACTCATTGATCAACTGTCTCACTTAACAACAGAAATGTTTGGCTCAACTGTGGTCATAAGTTGAAGACTATTTGTTTCTTTTGCAAACTCTAGTTGCAAACGAGACCAGAGAGAGATGATATAGAAATATAGAGATAGCTAAATAATATTTATATAGATAGGTAAGTAGGTAAGATAGCGATAGATATAGGTATAGAGATAGATGATAGATAGCTAGGTAATATATATATAGGGAGGGAGAGGAAGGGGGAAGGAGAGATGATACAGAAATATAGATAGATAATATTTATATAGATAAGTAGGTAAGAGAGATAGATATATGTAGATAGAGATACAGAGATAGATAGATGATAGAGGTAGAGATAGCTAGAGACAGCTAGAATATATATATATGGAGGTAGAGAGAGATGATATAGAAATATAGAGATAGCTAGATAATATTTATATAGATAGGTAAGTAGGTAAGATAGAGATAGAGAGAAAATGAGAGAACACGTTAGATAGAGGTAGATAGATATGGTAGATAGATAAACCCTCTCCTGTCCTGTTTTGTTAGATCAATGCTCTGTCTATCACGCTTCCAGGTCTGGGAGTCGGCAGCCTCCATTGTGTACCGCCTGAAGTAATCATTAACGGAGAAATTGCACTGGTTTTAAAGTCCCTCTACTTCTTTGGTGCCATCACAGAGAGGTCAGGCTACTTGGAAATGCTGGGGGGGGGGGGGGTGTTTGTAGAACAGCCCCAAGCCCTTAAAAAACAAACGAACAAACAAACCAACCCTTCATAGCCAGAATTAGCTGTTTCTATCCTGTCCCCAAATCCTGCTAGGGATTTTTTGTTTGTTTTGTAGTTGCCCAGGATAAAAAAAAAGCTGATCCAGGTACAGCTCTGCACCCCAAACCAGAATTCTCTTCCAAAATAACCCCGGCATTATTCTAGTTGCTTGTTCGGTAAAGCCACTTGATCCATCTGTCACAAGATAACCTTGGTTTGGCAGGTGGAAGGGACACCCAACTGAGGTCATCTGAAATTGGTCCGGAAGTTATCCGAGGACGCTCCTTACAGTGAACTTTGGGATTGCCAGCACCTGATAGCCTTTGATTCAAGGTGGTGCAGAAATATTTCCCGCAGAGTTTCACATACCAGCAAGGTTAACACTCCCCGCACCCTCCACAATCTTAATGCCATGTCACAAAACTACCCAACAGATGAGTCATCCGGAAAAAAAACACCTTTTAACACTACTCCAGAAAGCCCATCAAACGTTTAAATAGAGTTTAATGCACTAAAGTCATGTCTTGTTTAGAGCTAAGCTTCTTCTACCTTCAATAAAACAACCCTGGCTTTTAAAAAAAACAAACATATAACAAACTATTTTTATTTATTTTGAAACTCCCTTTGTTTAAATCCTACCTTATGATAATCCTAGGTTTAGGCTCCTTTTCCGTTCTATTCCCTTACTTAGAGTATTTTTTTGCTATATAACCGTGTTCCCATTTATGCTACATATAGTCTCTCTCAACCTTGACCTTAAGAGGTAGAACTTCAATTCCCAGAATTCCCCACCCAACAGGTAGAATTCTGGGAGCTGAAGACACACAGAGTCCTGCTAAAGTTTAACAGGAAGGTCTCGTCTTCAGGAACCTGACAGCACAGAGACGGGTACATTTTACATTTTCGTTTACCTTTGAGATGAAGGAATGGAAAGACGGTGCTTCCAGCAACACAGCAAGTCACTTGCAAATAAATAATAGAGAATTTCTTCCTGGTTCCTGGTTCGGGGCAATTCCAGTAACACCCACTCAGCTTTTTTTCCAAGTCCTCCACACAAAATATTGGTGTTTGCTCACTGCCCATCAGGAAAGGAAGGAGGAGAGGGGAGAAAAACAAAAAACAAACACAGATTATTTACTCAGCAGAAATGCCACTCTGAAAGCTTTTGAAACAAGAGAGGGCTGCAATGGAAGAGGAGGGAGGGGGCTTTTGTGGATTTCAGTTTGGGTGAACACACACACAGCCTAAGATCAGAGAGATTGGAGTGGGTCAATAACCTAAGAATGCAAAAAAAGAACAACAGGGACAACCTCGATGCCAGGGTTTTGACGCAGCAGCTAAAGCAACAGGCCAAAATGGCCAGCCCGTACACTGCAACCGTCGTAAGTACGAGTCGGTTGCCAAGCCATGGCTGAATTTTGGTCGTGGGGCCACAAGGATGCTGCAAGGGTCGTAAGCGTGAAAAGACGGTCCATAAGTCACATTTTTCAGTGCTCTTGTAACACTGAACAGTCACTAAACCAATGGTTGTAAGTCAAGGACTACCTATGGCTTTTTCCCACCCTCTTTTTTTTTGCTACCATGGGGCTTCTGCCAAGTTCTGGCAGCGAAGCTTGATTTACAACAGTTCATTCACTAAAATTTCATGGCTTCCAACCTTTGAAACAAGCTTCCAGGGGTTGGTCAGCCTCTGAATGCTTCCCTAAAAAACTTGGGCTTCAAGGGTGTGCAAGGGTTCCACCAAAGGGTGAAAACCACACTGCTTGTGCGATGGGCAGGAAATATCTGAACGGAGACAAGCCTTTTCGTTTTTACACCGTTTCGTATTTACACCAAAGACAAATTCCTTGTGTGTCCAATCACACCTGGCCAATAAAGTATTCTATTCTATTCTATTCTATTCTATTCTATTCTATTCTAAATCCACCTGCCCTTTGAACAAGGCTGTGGTTTCCTCCCTCTCTGATAAAGGGAGGAAGGGATTAGAATAGTTTTTTAAACAGGCGTTAGAAGGAGATTGTTTTTATTACCCTTAAGAATAATTAAATTCACAGAGGAGAAAAAGACTTCAAAAAAAGAGAAAGGAAAGGAAACAAGGGAAGAAAAAAGGGAAGGAAGGGAGAGAGAGAAAGAAAGAAGGAAAAGAACTGCTCAATGCCAAGAGAACTCCCAAGCCAGTTTTGTGCCCAAAGGCCCCTTAAGCTAGTCAAGAAGCTGGCTAAATGCCTGGAAAACAGACACCCACCCACCCACAAGGGGTGTGAGTCTCCAGCTACAGCCCAATTTCACAAACTGCAGCCGAAGCCTACAAAAAAAACCCACAAAAGGCTAAAACTCTCTCAGCAGCCAGCTGGACATGACCATCTTGGAAGGGAGAAAAGAGGCTAGCAGAGATGCGTGGAAAGTTTGCTTAACTTTGCTTGGCATCCTCTCCAGAAAATCTCCAGCAGCTCTCAAAGGAAAAACATTCCAGCGCCACTCCTTGATGGGGCGGGGGGGGGAGGCAAAAGATACGTGGATTGATTTCTGGAGATTGGGAAGAATCTAAGCCAAGAAGGAGAGCAAAAAAGACCAACAGAAATTCCAGGAGTTTGGCAATTTGGCTCTGGGAATCAATCAATCAATCTATCTGTAATTCTATCTTTCTATCTGTAATTCTATTCTATTCTATTCCTATTTCCTATTCTATTCTATATTCTATTCTTTCCTATTCTATTCTATATTCTATTCTATTCTCTATTCTATTATTTCATATTCTATTCTATTCTCTATTCTATTCTATTTCTAATTCGACCTCAAATTCTATCCATCCATCCTACCCACCCACCGGTGTCTATCAAGAGGATCCAGACTCTCAACTAAATTTACTTCTCTTTCCCATCCTGCTGTCCCCCTTCTCTCAAGCCATCTAGGTTATCCACACCCCCAACCCCTGAAAGCCCCCTCCTCCAATCTGTGCTTCCTTCAATTTCTCCCCTTTGATCGTTTCCCCTTTGACGCTGGAAGAGACTGAGGCTACAGTACATTGCATATAAAACAGGGAGGGAGGAAGGAAGGAAGGAAGAAAGAGAAAAAGAAAGAAAAGCAAAGAGAGAAAGAGGGGAAGGAAAGGAAGAAAGCAAAGGAAGGAAGGAAGGAAGGAAGGAAGGAAGGAAGGAAGGAAAGAAAGCAAAGGAAGGGAGGGAGGAAGAAAGAAAAGCAAAGGAAGAGAGAAAGAAAGAGGGGAAGGAAAGGAAGAAAGTGAAGGAAGGAAGGAAGGAAGAAAGAAAGAGAAAAAGAAAGAAAAGCAGAGAGAAAGAGGGGAAGGAAAGGAAGAAAGCAAAGGAAGGAAGGAAGGAAAGAAAGCAAAGGAAGGAAGGGAGGAAGAACGAGGGGAAGGAAAGGAAGCAAGCAAAGGGAGGAAGGGAGGAAGAAAGAAAAGCAAAGGAAGAGAGAAAGAAAGAGGGGAAGGAAAGGAAGAAAGCAAAGGAAGGAAGGAAGAAAGAGAAAAAGAAAGAAAAGCAGAGAGAAAGAGGGGAAGGAAAGGAAGAAAGCAAAGGAAGGAACGAAGGAAAGAAAGCAAAGGAAGGAAGAGAGAAAGAAAGAGGGGAAGGAAAGGAAGCAAGCAAAGGGAGGAAGGGAGGAAGAAAAACGGTGGCAAAGACAACTCCCCAAATAAATAATGAAATAAAATAAAACAAGTTAGCGAGGGAGGTGCAGGGGGCGGGTTTCCATCCTATTTGGGCGGGGGGGGGGGGGGGGGTTTCTACAAAAGGACCACAAAACCCATACTTTCCAAGGGCGCGGCGGGAACTCATGGGCTTTGTAGTCCGGGGCTCCCAGGCTATTACTAAGTGGGGGGCATTTTTGGAGGGGGACAGCTTCTGTCCCTGCTCCCCATCTGCATAAAACCAGCCCCGAGCTCCCGCGGAGGTCACTCACTCGTTCGCCGGCCCGCCGCCTCTGCTTTGACCTCCTTCAGACGTGTCTCCCTTTCTTCTTCAGCCGGAGAGCCGCCCCCCCCCTCCGCCGCGCGCGGATTGGCCGGCGGGCGCGTCACGTTGGTGCGGCCGCGCCCCGATTGGCTTTAGAGCCGTTCCCCCACTTCCTTTTTTTTCCCCTCCGGCCCCGCCTCCTTTTTCCTGGCAAGCGCTCTTTTGCAGAGCGGGAACGTGCGGGGAGGGGAGCGGGGGAGAATTTTGGGCCTCCCCGGGAGCCGTACGCCGGTCACGTGCTCTCCGAGCCGCCGCTTCCTGGAGTGGGCCGGACTTGGCTCAGTCCCGGCCACAGGCGCCTTTTTTTTTTACGACACTTGCCGCCAAGCGCGGAAGCCGGGCCAGGCGGGCCGCCGGGAGCGGTGAAAAAAAAAATATGTACGGGGGCGCCGAGGAGGAAGATGCCGACTTCGTGTCTCCGACGGGGGGGTGAGAACACGGGAGGTGGGTGGGGGGCTGTGGGCGGGACCGGAAGAGGAATTGGTACTTCCGGTCGCTTGGCCTAGGGGGGGGGGGGACTTGGAGCACCCCTCTTAGGGCTTATCCTCAGTACCTCTAAGCATGTTCAGAGGGCATTTAAAAATTTGGGGGGATTGTCTAAAAATTTGGGGTTCTGAGCCCAGAGAGAGCCTCTGAGCATGTGCAGAGGGCATTTTTAAAAATTGGGGGGGGGGGTTGTCTAAAAAGAGTTGGGTTTCTGAGCCCAGAGAGTGCCTCTGAGCATGTGCAGGGGGCATTTTTTAAAAATTTGGGGGGGGGGTTCTCTAAAAAGAGTTGGGGTTCTGAGCCCAGAGAGTGCCTCTGAGCATGTGCAGGGGGCATTTAAAATTCTCTCTCTGTGTGTGTGTGTGTGTGTGTGTCTAACATCAGAGCTGGGTTTCTGAGTCCACAGATTGCCTCTGTGCATGTGCAGAGGGCAATTTGGAAATCACTCCACCCCCATAATCCTGGGCTTGAAGGATGCTCCTAAGCGCGTGCAGAGCGGCTTTTTGAGGAAACCTGAGTTGTATTCAGGACCCATATCATGTCTTGCTGGGATCCCCCAGAAGACATTTAACGCAATCGGAAGAAGGTTGTTGCGTTCCGGCAAGAGGACAGAGTCCTTTGAGTGAAAAACTATCATCTTCTTGTTTTAGTAAACAACAAATCCTAGGTTCTTGTTTACAAAACAGAGGCAGTAATTGGTTAAATAAACCTTAATGGTGTTTCTGTTTTCTTGTGTCGGTTGTACCATTTTTACAGAGGACATTTTTTTTCCTGCATCATGGATGACCCATCTATTTCCCAAATTAATGATGTAAACAGGCATAATAAGTGTCAGAGATCCTTCTTGGTAATTGTGTGGTCTGTTCCACTAAAGAGGCTGGTGGGGAAAATAATTATCTTGTCTCTGAATGTTGCAAGAAATGTGCTTAGTTAAGCAAGCCGGCGTGCGAGATTGTGCAATTAAAGGAGATTGGACAGGTCAAAAGGCTTGGCTGGAAAGAAGCTTGTATCGATTAGATTAGTGTTTGTGACTCCGCTCACTTTGGCGCTATGAGGTAGTGGGTTGGAGATATTCCTGCCTGTCATATTTACCTGCATAACTTACATTATTCCAGGTTAAGCAGCATGCGGAGCACCGAAAAAGAATAAAATATTAAGCCAAAGCAATTAAAGGCATCGGAGAAAGCATTGAAACTTAGCTGCACAAATCACCCTTCTCTCTGCATGTCATTCCATGCTTTCCACCCCAAATTGGTTGAGGTGGGGAACAGTTTGTTGGCTTGCAAGGTAGACTCTCAGGATCGTAGTTCGCTTATACAGGCTTAAGGTTAAAAAAAACAAGGATCTGGTTTTGCTTGCAGCCAAACATGTCAGAACTGAGTGGCGTTTGTCCTTAAGCTTGCTTGGAAATATGTGGCATGTATGTGACGAAGGGTGATGGCCTCTTCTATACAGTACCTTCTCTGTTTTACTGAAAAGCGTCACGTGGAAAAACATTTCCTTCCAGTCCGGGTCCAATAAATAGAATAACAGAGTTGGAAGGGACCTTGGAGGTCTTCTAGTCCAACCCGCTATTCCGGCAGGAAATCCTATACCATTTCATAGAAATGGTTGTCCAATCTCTTCTTAAAAACCTCCAGGGATGGAACACCCACAACTTCTTCAGGGAAATCATTCCATTGTTTAATTGTTCTAATAAGAAATTTTTCCTTAGTTCTAGGTTGCGTCTCTCCTTGGTTAGTTTCCATCCATTGCTTCCTGCCCTGCCTTCGGATGCTTTGGGATATAGGTTGACCCCCTTCTTTTTTGTGGTAGCCCCATAGATACTTAGATAAATATACTTAGATAAAAGCACATTTCTGGATAGAATTATATCCTTCCTGGTTTCTAGGAAGTCAAGTGGGCACACACAGCTCCACAGAGCCTCATAAAGTAGATTACACTGAGCATAATTGAACAAGGGCTGTATAAGTGAGGGATCAGCCCAATCCTTAATTTAATTCCTGTGTCATTGGCAAGAGATGTAAACTTGGAAAAGTTTATGACTAACTCTACAGTACTGGTGCCGATAGTTTTGTATGGAAAAGACTCTTAGAGGAGCGGGGGGGGGGGGGGGGGGGACCAGGATGGGAAGGTCAGGAGGAAATGTCGTAACAGGGAAACTCCACAATTGCACTGCTTGTAATCAGCAGAGCTTGGATTTGCAAAAGAAAAAATAAGGATTTTGCAACCATTGGGCGGTTTCCAACACGGAAAGATAGACAGACGTGAAGGTAATTCAGAATCGGGGGTTCCCAGCCTCGCTTTTGAGATAAGCTGGGACTACAAGTCCCAGAATTCCTTTGGGCTTTGTTGTGTGGACTTCTTGCACTTTTCAATTTGGGGAAAATTAGTGTTTGCCACCTTTTGTTCTCTCCCTCCCTCTCTCTTTCTCCCTTTCTCTCCTTCCCTCTCTTTCTCTTCCCCTCTCCCTCCCTCTCGCTTTCTCCCTCCCTCCCTCCTTCCCTCCCTCTCTTTCCCTCTTCCTCTCTTTCTCCCTCTCTCCTTCTCTCTCTCTCTCTCCCTCCTTCCCTCCCTCTCACTCTCCCCCCTCTCTCTCCCTTCCTCCCTCTCCCCCTTCTCTCTCCTCTTCAACTTTGGTGTCAAATATCCTTTATTGATAGATAAATAGATAGATAGATAGATAGATAGATAGATACAAACACACACACATATATACATAAAATATCCTTTTAGTTGAGGAGGAATGGGGCTGACAGGAGAGAAGGGAGGTCTGGAATTCCTCTCTCTCAGCGAATGCATTGGAAGACTTGGCTGCCCTGGAATTCTGCGATTGGTAGCCCAGAAAAAGTCTGCAGAATCTTAACGTTAAGAAACGCTTGAACAAGGTATCAGGGATAGCTGCAAAGCTTGTTCCTTTTGATTCAGCTTTACTTCCTTTTTCTCTTCCCCTTCTTTCCTCCCATCCAGAGCTGGCTAAGCCAATGAGAGCCATGTGATGGGCCAGCTTTTTCGGGCCTGCAATCACGGGACACTTGTCTCACTTCCCTTAATTTCATGTTCCAGAAGAAGAAAGAGATAAAAGATGGTTTTTTTCTTGAGTTGAAAGGCTTAAACTTTAATTGGAAACGACTGTCCTGTATCTCCATGGATAAAAAAGCCCTGTGGTTTTTATGGATTAACAAAGTGCTTATTGTTATTATTGTTTAAAATGTGTATTAGCATGCAGTGCAATTTTAAGTGCCATCTCTCTCTTTTTTTTTTTTTAAATTCACCTGGCTATAGGCAGCCTCTTCCTCTGGTCTCGTTGCACAAAAGTCCATTCACCTTTGGACTTTGTGAATCAGTTCCCCCTGGATTTGAACTCATCTTAAAGCGGGGTGCCCAGAATTGGTCTCGGGGACTTACAAGAGGGTGTGTGACCAGAACAGATCTTTCAAGCATTGGTCTACTGACCGATAGAGGAGAAAATATCCATAGCTCAGGGTTGAAATGGGGGTCTTTGGTGCTCTCTGAGCTGGCCTGTTTTCTTGCAGACGTTCCATGACCCAACTAGGTAACAGCTTCAGTGCTAAAGGGAGTGGGGTTTGTGGAGAAGAGGAGGAGGAGGAGGATTATGGAGTCCTTGGGGGTCTCTGAACTTGGTTGCTTTCTTGCAGACCTTTCATGATCCAACTAGGTAACAGTATCAGTGCTAGAAGGGAGTGGGAGGTTTTGTGGAGAAGAGGAAGAGGGGGGAAATTGTGAGGTCCTTGGTACTCTGAGTTTCTTTTCTTGTAGACATTTCATTACCCAACTAGGTAACATTATCCATGCCGTTTTGTTCTCAGTTTATATTCTAGTGTCTTTCCCTGTCTGGGTGGGTGAGTGGTCAGTCTGAGAGATTCCTTGGTCAGGCTCTTTGCTTATTTATTGGCTGAAGTTAACCTTGGAGTTAATCTACGCTGACCTGGGTGCTGATTGCTGGAGTGGTTTTCTTCCCCCTTCTCTTTTGGCCTGGTTGATTGTCCCTTTTGCACAATCTCGAGGTGTTGTTAATGTTTGTGTGCCCATGGATGGCTGATATGCCAGAGTGCCAGGCTTCTAGGAAATCCCCTGGCAATTTGGGGAACTCGACCTGGTCTGCTATGCTCAAATTTTCGTCCCTGTACTGACTTTCGCCAGCCTCCTTAAGTTGAGGTAGGAAGATACTCCCCTTTTCCTTTCCAAGGTTGCTTGGCAATTCCACAGACCTGATCTTGTGCAAATTCAAAAATGTTTTTTTGTTGTTTTGGAAACCTGAGTTTGCATTGTTAGCTTTCCAGCCCCCCTGCCTGGCTGCTGATGCTTTAAGATTGGAGAAGGAGGAGGGGGGGAAAATGTGATTATCTTTCAGTAAAACAGTCGTGAAGGTTGTGAGTAGACAGAGGTTGACGGAGGGAGACACAACCGGACAGAACTGAAGGGGGAAATGGCAGACTCCTGGCGGACTGAGTATTTTTGGCAAGCTTCCTACGGGTTGGTTGGTTTGGCTTGGTTTTCTTTGGTGGGTGCTGTGGTCCGTCGGCAGCCTACGGAGACGGCAGCAGAGTCGGACAGTGGGGGGGGGGACATGGGCCAGTCTGGGAGTCTAGGGAAGGCTCGGACGAGGGTCCTGCATCTGATACAGATATGGGGCCAGGGCCATTTGCTGACTCTGGAGCCTCCAGAATCTGACAGCAGCGAGGCAGAGGAACAGCGGGAGCCTGTTGCCAGTGCGCGCTTACGCAGAGCTGCCAGAAGGCGAGAGCAGTTAAGACAAAAGGGGTGACTCGGGAGTGAAGTTTGGAGGTGATTGGCCCTCCCATAAGATATAAAGGAGGAGCAAAGGGACAGGAGCCTTTGCAGGAAGCAACTTTGTTCGTACCGGCCAGTTTGAAACCTGAAGCTCCGCGTGTTGAATTTGTGCTCTGTTTTGGCCTCATAACTAATTGGACATTTAGTCATTGGCAGCATTTCAAGGAAGATAAAGGTGCGTGCTTATCAGATTTATCCTGAAGGACTTTGGCAGACTTCCATGGGACTAGTTACAAACTGTTTCAGACTCATTACGGGCTGCGAATGACTAAAATTCACAGCCATTGAAATAAAGAAAAAAGGGTTTGGGGACTAACGTGTGTTTGTTAGTGTCTCCATAAGCCTTGGTCAGAAAAGCCGGGGAAGGGGCTGTGTTTTGGTGTGAAGGTTGTTAAAATTGCTCTTCGGTCCCAGAATATTTAGGGGTGACTGTTTAGCCTTAGAACTGAATATTTGGACTTGGCGATTGGATTTAGCACTGATTCAATTCTCGTCTTTTGGAACTGATTTTACTGCACACAAGTCTCTACCTCTGAAGAATGCGAATAGGACAGGATTTCAAGGCAGAGTGGAATTCTTTAATGCTTTGGGTATAGGGTGACTCAGTATGGCGCCGGTCCTCATTGTTTTCCTTCACCTCCCAGTGGGCGTGGTCCAAGCAAGTGATATCCAACATACTAGTCATAGTATTTATTTATCTCTTTTAACATATTTTCTTTATTTTGTTTCCCTGTTTCTAACTTCCATTGTATGCAGTAGCTCTGAGCTTGATTCTTTTCTTGCAGATGTTTCATCACCCAAATTAGGCATCATCATCAGCTCCATAGCACTGATGATGTTACCTAGTTGGGTCATGAAACGTCTGCCAGAAAACATCTAAGCTTCAGAGCGCACAAGAATCTTCGAGCTACTAATATTCTCCTTTATCAGTTCTCATCTTTATTTAACTGGGCATTTCTCCCCACCCTCTTCTCTCTGCAGGGCCAGGCTGGCCTCTCTCTTCGGCATGGACCAGACATCCTCTGGAACTGGGAACGAATTTTTCCAGTATACAGCACCCAAGCAGCCTAAGAAAAATCTACCGGCCGCAGGTAAGTAATTGTGGGCCAAAATCCAGAATGCTTACTCGCGGTGACAATGCCTCTTTTTCCAGCGGGGAATGAAATGGCATCCCGTCCCCGGATGAATCTGGCTGGGATTAAAGATCTGAAAATGCTGGGGAAGAAGCCCTTCAACTTTGTGGGTCCGTGACCCCCTAAATCAATAAATGTGGGGGGGCCCCTCTGTTGAATATAGGTAGCCCTCGGATGTACAGCAGGTAAATTTCAGACGGTAAGTAAGACAGTTAGGGAGCTTTCCTTACTCCATGGTCAGAGCTGGGTTTTGCACTCTCTGCAACATGTGTGGAGAGAGAGAGAGAGAGAGAGAGAGAGAGAGAGAGAGAGAGAGAGA